AACCCATTAATGCCAGCACTTCTTTTTGATTAGCCGTATTGGATGAAATTTGGAAATATTGAGTGAGAAGGCTTCAACAAGCGTTAACAATCGTTTAAATCAGTTTATTCATTTAGAAATAAAAGGTGTCATTATGTGTGCACACCGAACATTGACCGGTCAATGTATTTGTTTCGTTTAGTTATTCATAAATTTATTCATTATCAGGTATGTAAACAAAAATGAACAGCCTTTGTGAAATTGCTTTGTGAAACTGTGAATTTAGGATAATTTAAACGTTTCTGTTCGTATTCAAAATCCATTTTGGATTTTATTTCAATATCTCTTCAACTTTATCCGTCGTTTGATCGCCTACAATTTTCAGGTATCCAATGAACGGTCAAATGCTGCCACACCAACAGCAATTCACTCAACAATATTATCCGTCGAGAAACGTTTACAGTAATTATCGATATTGCTGAAATTATTGTGTAAATATTCATTCACGTTTCGCGATACCTTCATATTTCAAGCATATTGTATATAACTCATCATGATGTATAATATTTGTGTNTTTAAGCTGTTGGTTCTTTTAAGCACCACCCCAACCGTTTTCGAATCATCTTTTGAGGAAACGCTTAATGAAGACGTTTATTTGATAATGTTGAGTTGTAATCGTGTACAGAGAAGGAAATCGTCCGGGGTTGGGCAATAGTGAGATGTTTCTTTGAGTGCTACTCTATGAGTTGAAATAATTCGCTTATTGCATGCTGATTCGTTGAAATTGTTCGATGTGAGATAAGCTGTAAAGCTGTACTCGATTCAGGTGAAATGAGGATGGTTTTTGAAAGACTGGAAAGTCGACTTTTGAACGCTTTCTGTGATTTTTGATTGATCGAAGAAACTGTGCACAAGATCAGTTTATTTGAATTCATCTCACTTATAGATTATGTGCTATAAAATAGTATTTATTATCTATGCAGTAATGCTCGTTTATCCATGTTAGGACGTTTGATGTAAACTGATCAGTCTTCATTTCATCGATAAAATTGTTTCCTGAGCCCTGATTATGACTTTTTCGCAGTTTCTTGTTAGGTATCATACAGTAATTTCTTCAGTGAATTGACTTCATTCCGAATAATTATGTATCGGTTTTAGAAAGATCACTTCTTAAATAGTCATTTCAGTTTCCGGCGCTTATTTTTGGTTAGAATGTGTCTGCGCGTAGAAAAAAGCGAATGATCAGTCGATCCATACGTTGATATTTCACTACAGTGGGCAACAAAGATCAGTCGAAGTTATTGTTAGATTTTAATAAATGATTTAAACGATGAATTAGTTGTTCTGGGTGAAACGTTGAGCGGTCACCAAATACGTAGAATTCAAT